TTTCTTTGGCAGAGACCGTCTTAGGCGCCATGAGGTGCCGAACACTAGCATTCCGAGTTGGTAATCCAAAGCGTAAGGTGGCACCTTCGCGTAGTGGGTAAGCTGCTCGATCGAGATGATCAGTCTGGAGGATCGACTCCCATTGATAGTACTTTGTGTCCGCAATGATGTCTCTGAAGTTGTGCGGGATGGTGTCGTAGTCGTGGCCTCTCTCGTAGCGCTTGCGTGTCCTCTTTGAGATTCCGTCGGCGAGCTCGTTCCACGGCATGCCTTCGTGACTCGGGACGTGGTGCAAGGTTATGTCGTTTTCGTTCTTGAGCGTGTCGAAGATGACCTTCATGAATCTCGCAAGATGTTCGTCTGCTGTTGCTGTGGCGCGTCCCATGCATATGTTGATGGCCGTCTCGCAATCGGTGTGAATGCAGATAGGTTGCGGCTCGGCGACGGCGATGGACCACATGAGAGCCTGCACGATGGCCATGATTTCGCCTGTGGTGTTGGTGGTGCTGCGGTCATTCAACTTCATGTTGTGGCTCTTGCTGACGATGCTGCTGTAGGCTCCTCTGAACGTGTGTTGGTCGTGTTCGCCACCTTCTTGTAGTACCAAGAATGCCCATGAGCAGCAGTCTGGTCTCCGTGCGTTGTGGGAAGCGTCAGTGAAGATGTGTTTTGCGCTGTGGGCATTGTTGCCTTTCGTCGTATTGTTGAGCGCGTATGTTGCTGCTGGGTGCAGGTCGTCACCTTCGATGTTAGCGTTGAGAAAGGGGGCGGTCGTGGCCCGTATTCGTCTGATCAGTCCTCTGGTGTCCCCTAGGTCGCATGTGCAGTCGCCTGGTGGTTGCATGCCGTGGTATCTTGTGATGTCGAGATTGGCCTCGTGGTACGATGGTTGCAGTTGTTGGGGCTGGTTGTCGGCGCTAGGATTGGGTGGTCGCTGTACTCGAAACGGTAACAATGCTGTCGCCTTCTGCTGTCGTCTGTGTGCAGCTTGTCCGTTGTGTGTTGTTGCAGAAGCTCCTGTTGGGCATCGAAAGGGGTGCATGGCTGTCTTTTGTCGTTGTCGCCTTTCACCTGTGGCCGCGTGGCGGTCTCTGTCGGGTGCTGCTGTGCCATGTCCAGCGCCCTGGGATGCTGTCAGGGCTACTGGTGGATGGCCGGTGGGCTGCTGTGTCGGAAGCGTGGTGGTATGTCTTGCTGGGGGTGGCGGTGGGCTGGGTTGCAGGGCTTGGAATCGATTGTGGGTCGTGGTGTACGTAGATGTCTGCTGTGCTGTTAGTCGCCGTTGCTGCTGCCGTCGGACTCGTGCCAGAAGCCGCGTGCGAATGGCGTCGTCATCGAGGTGGAAGTTGCCGCTATCCATCTCGCTGCTATTATCGAGGAAGGTATCCTCGATCCCAGGGAAGTAGTCTATCGTGATCGCACTGTGGTACTCGGGCGTCTCGTTGTGGACGTCGGAGCCGTTGAATTTCCGTGCATGCGTAGAGCCAAAATGGCTAGTTGTGGCGACCGTGGCGTCGGGCTTGGGTCGCTCGAGTCGGGGTGGTGTGTGTAGCCGATTCGTCTCGTCGCCTGTCCTTACTCTTGGTGTGGTCGGCGTGACACGCTGAGTGCTCTCAGAAATGGTGGAGCGAAGTAGGTCGTGCCTTGGCGATGTGTCGGAGGTGGCGGCGTAGGAGCCAGGTGGCGCTCGTGGAGGTGTCAACCTGCGCGAGGTGCCATCTGGGGGGACCCTCCCCAGTATGGCAGTCGATCTTGGGTGGGGGCGCGAACCGCTCGAGTGGATTTCCCACTCTTCGGTCGGGTGGCGCCTATGGTGGATAGTTGTTGGTTGTCCATCGGTTGCGTCGTGCTGGTCGTGTGAGGCAAGTGAAACTACTGCCGTTGTCCGTCGGGTCTGATCTGCTATCCCCAAAGCAGGAGTCAGTGCACGTGGACTGGTGGTGTGTGTCGGAAGGTGGCTGTCAGAAGTGCAAGTCACCTGCACCCCCTGGGTCGTCAGGTTGGTTGCGGTCTGCAAGCTAGTGGAGTCTGCTATCGAGGATGGAAGGTGGCAGAGTCGGCTGTCTATGTTGCCTGGCGCTCGGTGCTGATCCGCGGTCCCCAAAGCGGGTGTCAGCCTGTCGAGGTCAGTCGATGTAGGCTTCCCTAGTGGAAGTCGGGGTGGGTGTGCGTGTCTGAAGCTGCAAGTTACCTGCACCGCAGGGGTCGCAAGGTTCGTTGCTGCTTCTGTGACATTGTGATGCTGTGTGGCGCTGGGCCGAGAGTTACGTATGGACGCTTGAGGCCGCCCAGGGGCCTGTTGCTCTGGTCTTTTTCGACGGGTCCGATGAGCCAGAGCGCCCTCATCGGGGTCGTTCGTATCTAGTTTTTTGGACGCAGCGCGGTGTCCGATCCTTCATCGTCGGGATCGGCACGGAGAGGGACGCGGTCGGATATGTCCACGAAAAAAGAAAAAAAAAAAAAAAAAAAAAAAAGAAAAGAAAAAAAAAAAATAAAAAAACACAAAAAAAAAAAAACAAAATACTAATAAAAAAAAAACACCAAAAAAAAAGCCGTCACCGCTGTCGTGGATACGGACCTTCCGCGGTGGTCGTGATGTGGAGTCCTGTCTCGTGAGGGCCGATCGGGTTCGTGAGGGTGGCGCTGACTGGGCCCTGTCGGGCGTTCCCATATGGAATCTGGGTGGAGGGATGATGGGGCTGTAGGCTTGGGTTGGGGTGATGCTGGTGATCGGTCGAGTCTTGGGCGTGGTGGGTACTTCGTGCTCGTCGTCGCTGAGATCGATGAGAATTGTGGTGAGGGGCGTGGAACGCTGTTGGTCGTCGGGTGTCGATCTCGTGTCGGGGGGGGCGGACATGGCACGTACTTCGGGGAAGATGATGTGTGGGGTGGGGGGAGTGGCCTGCTCAGCTGGGATGGGGGTGTCGGTGCCTTCGAGGTCGGAGTCGTGATGAAGGTCAGGAATGGGAGTAGACTGTCCGTCGTCGTGCTGAGAGAGGTAGCCGTCGTCGGCGATGGGCGTGGGAGAGCACGAAGATCTTGGAGAGCTCGATTGGTGTGCTTGTGTATCGCCGTGGTGTGCTTCAGAGGGCTTGTCGTGGTCGGCATCGCTGAGTGGGGCGATACTGGCTGGAGGGTGTATGGGCGTTCTGTCGCGTGTGTGGTCGGGGTTCGGGGCGGGTGGTGAGGTGGGTGGTGCGGCTGCAAGCCGAGGTCTCGTGAGCTCCATGCGTCTGAGTTGGACGTGGAATGAGCTGCGTTCGGTGGAGAGCTCATCTGTCGTAGCTGCTCGAGGTAGATGTCGGCGTGTGGGTGAGGCATCTCGTAGGGGCCTGGGATGATCGCGGTGAGGGCGCCTTCGATCTCGCGGTGGATGCGCTTCTCCTCTGAGTCGGCTAACGCCTGCTGTCTGTTTTCCTCCTCGTCTCTCTCGCTGAATCTCGTGTTCAATTCTTGCAACAGTTCAAGATCAAGAGGGTCATGATGAAGCTCGGCTTGTCGAAACTCACGTTGCATTTCCTCCCTTTCCTTTATTCGCATCTCCTCGGTCGTCGCCAGGCGGTTGATGTACCTGTCGTGGAGCTGCTGCTCGGTGAGGTGTAGGTTTGCACGTTCGCCTTGGAGTCGGGCTCGTTCGTGCTGATGCTCGGTGCGAATCGTGGCTGCTTCGTGTTGTTGCGCACGCAGTTCACCGTACTCCTCGAGGATCTTCTCTTTGGCTTGCATGAGTGCCGATGATTCCGCATGAGCCCTGCAGTTGATTTCATGAAGCTGTCGTTGCTGAGCCAGTCGAAGTGCGTCTTCTTGTTGCTGCCCTCTCATCTCGTGCTGGAGTAGGAGGTTGTGGGCACACTGAGCTTCTTCCTGTTGAAGGCGGTGCTCGGATATTAGATGCTGGAGCCAGAATGGCTTAGCCTCCCGTAGTTCGTGTTGCTGTACTGCTTCCCGCCGTGCAAGGTGACCACGTGCGGCGTCGTGAAGTAGTTGGTGCTGTTCGAGCTCGGTCTTCATGCGATGTGCCTGTTCAGCTTCATCTTCCTGGCGTCGTTGTTCGGACTGTCGTAGGAACCGTTGTGCCTGCTGATGTTCTAGGTGGCGGTTGCGCACGTTGATCTCGTCTATCTCCTCCTGGAAGCGGCGCTGGAGTCGTTGCTCGTGGTGCTGTAGTTCGAGATGAAGCTCGTTGAAGGCCTTCCGAGACGTGTGTGCTTCCATGCGCGTAAGCTCCTCCTGCAACTGCCGATGCCAGGATGGTTCGCCTTCACGAGGCGTCCTGGCGGGGCGCCTGCCGCGGCCGCGGCGCCGAGCGATGGCCCGCGGCGCGCGAGCCCGAGCACGAGGGGGCGACCGACGAGGGCGACGACGGCCCAGCCCCCCTCAGCCCGTGGCTTGAGCCAAAATGGCTACGGACCCCCCTCCTCCTCATCCTCCTCTTCCTCCACATCATCATCATCATCATCATCATCATCATCATCATCATCATCATCATCATCATCATCATCATCATCATCATCATCATCAGCAGCAGCAGCAGCAGCAGCAGCAGCAGCAGCATCATCTCATCATCATCATCATCATCATCATCATCATCTCATCTAATCATCATCAGCATCATCATCATCATCATCATCATCATCATCATCATCATCATCATCATCGTCATCGTCATCGTCATCGTCAGCAGCAGCATCATTCATCATCAATCATCATCATCATCATCATCGTCATCGTCGTCATCGTCTCGTCAGCATCATCATCATCATCATCATCATCGTCATCGTCATCATCTCATCAATCATCATCATCATCATCATCATCCATCATCATCATCATCAGCATCATCATCATCATCATCCGAATCCCCCTCCTCCTCCCCCTCCTCCTCCTCCTCCTCCTCCTCCTCCTGCTCTTCCTCCTCGTCCTCGTCTTCCCCCTCCTCCCCCTCCCCCTCCCCCTCCCCTCCCGCACCCTCCCCCTCCTCAATGGAGCCGGGGGCGCGCCTGCTTCGGCAGCGCGCACCACAGCACCAGGCCCAGGCCCAGGGCGGCCACGGGGACGGCGAGCTGGCGCGCCAGGTTCCCGACGATGCCGCCGTCCTGGGCTCCTCCCTCTCCTCCGCCTCGCTCGCTCGATCGCTTCATGATCTTTTTTTTATTTGCGGGTCGAGAGCGCACCTCTTCCGGTCGAAGCCAAGCGGGCCGCGCGAAGCTTGAACTAACAGAGAGGGGGAGGAGAGGGGGGAGAGCGCAGCCTCCTATCGCTTCGTGATCAAGCATGCGACGGAAACGTCGGAGGGAAAGCTGGAGGAGGGGCCCGAGCCGCCGTCGGCTCCGAGCCCGTCGCGTGCGGCCGCGCGCACAGGGGAGGAGCGGGCGGCAGCGAGGAAGAGGGCGTCGAGACCAGGAGAACAGGGCGGGCCACCAACAGGGGAGAGCGGGGGCCCAGGGCCCGCGTGCACCGGTTGGGGCTCCCGCCTCCTCCGAATCCTGCGCGGCCGATCGTTGTGGTCCGTATCCAGGGCGTCTAAGACTTATCGTGGAAGGGGCGCCGCAAGGCCGAGGCGCACTGCATAGGGATAAAGGTCGGGCCTCTTGTGGGGGCCACATTTCTGTCCGTATCCAGTGCGCCTCGGCTTTCTGGGGAAGGGAGCCCGAAGCTCCAAGCTGCAGTGGATATGGACACAACTTGTGCCCGCATCTTGCGTCATGAGCACACAATCCTTACTCGTCACCATGGGGGGCACGAGGACACGTGGGGGGCGCAGAACCGAAGCACCTCAGCGCCAAACTCATCCCAGCCAGGATCCCCGAAACAGCTCCAAACGAGGGCAACAACGAGAGGCCTTCCTGAGCAGGGGCGCGCGCGAGAAGTCGGCGAATGGGTGTTGGACAAGCCTTGGCTTTACTTCCGCCGTGCACCAGCGTCCTTCACGGTCCCTCCCTCCGAGGGTGCGGCAGGCGATAGTGTCCTGCGAGAGCCCGCCTACCAGCCGCTGAAAAGGCAAATGCCCTTCTTGGAAGCGGCCCCAGTGCACCCAGAGCGTGGGCGTCAACGATCTGGACCCAGAGGGAGACTTGACTGACGCGACGCATGGTGGCGGACCCCGCCGTCCTACAGACCAGCCGTATAGCCGCGTAGCAACGGTCTTACAGAGGTTAGGTCGTTTGCAACGGAAACGCGCACCATGCGCACAATAGTTGGCAAACTTCCCAAACTCCCCCCCCCCCCCCCAAAAAAAAAAAAAAAAAACGTCGCATCCGAACCAGCAATCGAGCTTTAAGGCCTCAGTGGAGGCCTCCAGAGACCTGAACAAAACAAACAAACACAAAACACCATCCCCCTCTGAAGGTCTCAGAAGGTCCCCACAAGCCCGAAGAGGCCTCTGAAGCGCCTGGATACAATCCGATCCACCCTCCACTCCCTCCCGCTCCAAACACAGAATGATCCCTGCGATAGACACAACCATATGCAGTTGTGAGAACCACCGTTCATAGGATCCTCTTGGGTGGAGCCCCATATACAAGTCCACGAAACATATGACGGGTCTGCCGAAATGGGCGGGGAGCTGCATGCGAACACGGCCACTGGGGCCTTCGGTGGAGCTCCCTATGGGACCATGAAACGTGTCAGCGGTGTATCGAAACGGGCCTGGGGACGCATGTGAACCCTGCCACATGGGCCAGAGGACGCATGCGAACTCCGCCACTCAGGCATTCGGTGGAGCTCCCCATGGGACCACGAAGCGTGTGAGGGGTGTGCCGAGATGGGCTTGGGGAAACCCCCCTCGAGCCTTGCCAGCGAAGCCGTCGGTGGAGCTCTCCATGGGGCCACGTAACGTGCGAGGAGAGGAGAGGAGAGGAGAGGAGAGGAGGGGAGAGGAGAGGAGAGGAGAGGAGAGGAGAGAGGAGAGGAGAGGAGAGGATAGGAGATAGGAGGTAGGTAGGAGGAGGAGGAGAGGAGAGGAGAGGAGAGGAGAGGAGAGGAGAGGAAGGAGAGGAGGGAGAGGAAGAGGAGAGGAGAGGAGAGGAGAGGAGAGGAGAGGAGATAGGAGAGAGGAGATAGGAGATAGGATGATAGGAAGATAGGGTAGGAGATAGGAGATAGGAGATAGGAGATAGGAGATAGGAGATAGAGATAGGAGATAGGAGATAGGAGAGATAGGAGAGGAGAGAGAGGAGAGGAAGGGAGGGAGAGGAGAGGAGAGAGAGAGAGGAGATGGAGAGGAGAGGAGAGGAGAGGAGGAGGAGAGGAGAGGAGAGGAGAGGAGAGGAGGAGAGGAGAGGAGAGAGGAGAGGAGAGGAGAGGAGAGGAGAGGAGAGGAGAGGAGAGGAGAGGAGACGAGAGGAGAGGAAAGGAGAGGGGAGGAGAGGAGAGAGAAGAGAGAGAAGGGAGAGGAAAGAGGACAGAGGAGAGAGGAGAGAGGAGAGAGGAGAGAGGAGAGAGGAGAGGGGAGAAGAGAGGGGAGGAGAGAGGAGGAAGGAGAGAGGAGAGAGAAGGGCGGAGAGAGGAGAGAGGAGAGGAGAGAGGAGAAAGGAGAGAGGAGAAAGGAGAGAGGAGAAAGGAGAGAGGAGAAAGGAGAGAGGAGAGAGGCGAGGAGAGGAGAGAGGAAAGACGAGAGAGGAGAGAAAAAAGAAGGGAGAGGCGAGGACAAGAGAGGAGCGGAAAGAAGAGACGGGGTAGGAGAGGAGAGGAGACGCGTAACGCTGTCACTTCAAAACGAGGGCTCAACACCTCAGGATGGCTGGGAAAAAAACACAGGACTGGTTCGACGTCTGCGCCCGCCATGGTTTGCTGTTTACGATGCTGTGTTTTGTCTGGGGTCTCCTGGGGCCCTCCTGGGGTCCTCCCCAGGGCCCTGTTGGGCCGTCCTGGGTGGGGGGGGGGGCGGCGGAAAGGCAACGGCCCCTACGACAGGTCGATCTCTGGACGGGAGGCTGGAATCACCCATCGTTTCGCGCGTCACCCCTCGCGAGGTTCGGGGTGGCTGGTGGCGTGTAAGTAATATGGCGCGCTACTATGCTCACCCCTCGCGGACACGAGCACGGCCAGACGCCCATGCCAACGTTCGATCGAACTCGCCCTCCCTCCATCCCTCTCCGAAGAAGGCATCGTTGCTTTCCCCTGGCCCAGCGGATGACAAGCGCAGGTCAACCCGCTGTCAGCGGCACGCAGCGCCTGGTAGAGGAAGGTCTTGACGCTCAGCAGCGTGTCCTCCGCCGCGCGCCGCTTCCACACGCTAACGGGGCAGAGAGGGCGAGGGGATCAGGAATCGGCGATCCTCAAGCAAAGCCACCTCCGCCTCCCACGTCCTCCACATCCTCCTCCTCCTCCTCCTCCAACTCCTCCTCCTCCTCCTCCTCCTCCTCCTCCTCCTCCTCAACCTCCTCCTCCTCCTCGTTCTCCTCCTCCTCCTCATCCTCCTCATTATCGTCGTCAGCATCATCATCACAACCACCACCACCATCATCAGCATCATCAGCATCATCATCATCATCATCATCATCATCATCATCAGCATCATCATCATCATCATCATCATCATCATCAGCAGCAGCAGCAACAGCAACATCAACCCAATAATCATCATCAACATCATCATCATCAGCAGCAGCAGCAGCAACAGCAACATCATCCTAATCATCAGCATCATCATCAGCAGCAGCAGCATCATCAACATCGTCACCACAATCATCATCATCATAATCATCATCATCAGCAGCAGCATCATCATCATTATCATCAGCATCATCATCATCATCATCAACATCATCATCATCCTCATCCTCATCCTCATCCTCCTCATCATCATCATCACCATCATCATCCTTATCGTCGTCGTCGTGATCATCGTCATCCTCATCGTCGTCATCGTCATCGTCATCATTATCATCGTCATCATCATCAGCATCAGCATAAGTATCATCGTGATCATCATCCTCATCAGCATCGTAATCGATATCACATCATCAGCATCCTCAGCAGCAGCATCAGCATCGTCGTCATTAGCAGCAGCATCATGACCACCAGCATCGCAATCGCAATGATTATCAGTATCACCAGCGTCGGCGGATTCGTCGTCATCATCTTCATCATCTTCATCATCATCATCATCATCATCATCATGATGAGCACCATCATCATCATCAGCAGCATCAGCAGCATCGTCACCATCATAATCATCAAGATCCTGATCAGCATCAACAGCACCATCATCATCATCATCATCATCAGTATCACCATCATCATCATCATCATCATCATCATCATCATCATCATCATCATCATCATCATCATCATCCGTATCATCATCAGCAGCGTCATCATCCTCGTCATCGTCATCATCATCGCCACCACCACCACCATCATCATCAGCAGCATTATCATCATCATCCTCAGTATCATAATCATCATCGCTAACAGCATCATCATCATCATCAGCAGCAGCAGCAGATTCATCATTACCGTCGTCAGCATCATCACCATCATCATCATCATCGTCGTCATCATCACCATTATCAGCATCGTCATCATCAACACCACCACCGTTATCATCATCATCATCACCACCATCATCACCACCACCAGAAGCATCATCATCGTCATCATCATCAGCAACAACAGCATCAGCATCATCATCGTCGTCATCATCAGCATCAGCGTCATCATGATCAGGGGGAGGATGGAAGAGACGAGGGGGAGGGAGAAGGACGGAGCACGCGAGAGATTTGCAGGGGGGTGGGAGCAGGAGCACAGGCGGCAAAACCAGACGGGCGGGTCGGGCGGGCGGACCCAAACGGACAGCTCGGGCAGGCGGGCCCAGGCGGCCGGGTCGAGCGGGCGGGCCACCGAAGCGTCAATCCAACATGGATCGAGGGGAAGGCTTCGAGCGATAGCGCGATTCCCAAGTAAAAAAAAAACGTGAAGGAAACAATAGCCAGAGCCTGATTCGTGAAGAAATACCAATTGTAAGGAAATACCAATTGTGAGGAAATACCAATTGTGAGGAAATACCACTTGTGAGGAAATACCAACGTGGGGGCGGGGATGGCGCTGTAATGAATTGTGAGGAAATACCACACGAAAGCGTGATTCCTGCAAAAATTCCAAAGGAAGTCCCGCGCGAGAACGCGATTTTGAAATAACTTGGCAGGAATTCTCAGGCGGGAACAGCTGTTGTTGTAAACCGGGGGCTTGGGGCCCACTTTGAGGACCAAGAATTTCCCTTATGAAAAACCCGATGCGCGCCCAAGGATGAGCACTGTAGTTGAAACACAAGGTGCACCCAAGAGGGGATCAACAACAACTACTGTAATGAGAAGCCAACAACGGCGCAATAGCGATAGCAAGAGCAACAGCAACAGCAAAAGCAACAGCAACAGCAACAACAACAACAACAACAACAACAGCAACAACAACAGCAACAGCAGCAGCAGGAACAACAACAACAACAAACACAACAACAACAACAACAACAACAACAACCACAACAACAACAACAACAACAACAACAACAACAACAACAACAGCCACTACCACAACCACAAACACAACAACAACAACAACAACAACAACAACAACAAAAACAACCACAACAACACCAACAACACAACAACAACCACAACAACAACAACAAGAACAATCACTTCAAAACTGTCCGCTCCTGTCTGCTCACGTGCCAATAAATACGTACATCCCAAACCCTCGGTACCCGCCCTCGTCGTCTTCGATCGTACCCCCTTGGGGGTATAGATTCCATACCTGCCACGTGCATGTAGTGCAGCCCCTAAACCAAGGGAAGAGAAGACGGGTGGAAGGGGGAGGGAGAAGAATGTAGCACGAGAAAAATTAGCAGCAAGGGGGCCAGGATCAGAAAACGAGTGGTAGAACCAGACGGGCAAATCGGGTGGGCAGACCCATAGCGGGCAGGTCGGGAAGGCGGGCCCAGGCGACCAGGTCGAGCAGGCGGGTTGTTAAAGCGTGGGTCCTGCATGAATCGCCAGGAAGTCACGAGCGATAGCGCGATTCCCAAGTAAATCGTGAGAAAAACCAAAGCGAGAGTGTTATTCCTGAGCTCCGAGAGCGCATCGTCTGAATAAATTGCGAGGAATTCCCACGCGAGAGCGCGATTCGTGTACAACTTGTGAGAAAGTCCCCCGCGAGAGCGCGATTTGGGAATAAATTGTGGGGAAGTATCAGGCTGGAGCCGCTGTTGTTGTAAACCCGGGGCCAACAACACAATTTCATCCCCGTGACTTGTCGTCTTAAAAAAGGGTGCGAGCCCCGGGGGAAGCACTTCAAATGAAAAACAGCAATGCTCACCGGAGGGGGAATATCAACAATAATCTTTCTTCAGTGAGCAAAATTCAACAACAATAACAACAACAATACTAACACCATCAACAACAACAATAAATGCAGCAGCAGCAACAACAAGAACCACAACAATAACGACAGCAACAACTACAATAAATTTAAGACTACTCGCTCTTATCTGCTCGCGTGCCATTTAAGACGTATATCCCGAACCCTCGATACCCGCCCTCTTTATCTTTGATCGTGCCGTGCACGCTTAGGGGAATATCTTTCTTACCTGCAACGTGTATTTCGTGCAGCCCCTGAGGCAGGCGAAGAGGAGGGATGGAAGGATGGGGCCAGGGGCAGACGGGTTGCTGAAACGGGCGTCCTGCATGAATCGCGGGTAAGTCTCGAGCGATTGCGCGATTCCAAAAATAAATCGTTCGGAAACCCACAACGAGAACGTGATTCCTTAGTGGCGACGGCGCGGCGTCTGAATAAATTGTGAGGATGTCTCAAGCGAGAGCGCGATCCCTCAGTAGATTGCCAGGAAGTATCAGGCGAAAGTCTGAATCTTCCAATAAATAGAAAGGAAATATCAGGCAGGAGCCATTGTTGCTGTAACTCGGGGGCCAGGGGCACAGATTGACCCTCAAGACTTTCCCTGATAAAAAACAAGGTGCGAGTGCTAGGAAGAATTGACTATAATCATTATTTGGATGAAAAATCAATAAGCAACACTTGCACCGAAAGGGTCCTGGCGAATGTTGAAAAACTTGGCGAAACGGCCCAGCCGATTCTGGTAGGCGGCCCGGTTCCAAGGTTCCCAATTCCGGGTTCCCCGGTTCCCGGTTGCTGGGTCCGGGCCGATTTCAATGGGCGGAGGGGTTCCCGGGTTTCTGGGTTCCCAGGCTCCTGATCGTTCTCCTTATCGATCGGTCTCACAATCGATCGAATTACCCATCTCTATCGATCTTACGATCGATCTCACAATCGATCTCACTATCTGTCTCACAATCGATCTCACTATAGATTGCACGAACGATCTCACGATCGAATATCACTATCGCTCTCTGTAAATCGACTTCCCTATCGGTCTCACGATCGAGCTTGCTATCGTCCTCACTATCGATCCCACTATCGATCTCACTATCGATTTAACAATCGATCTAAAGATCCATATCACTAATTCTCAAACCATCCACTGATTAGGATTTCTCTTAGGCGCGCTGGCGCCTGTTTGGGCCTCCAGAAGCCTCCACAGAGAGCGAAAACGAATAGAAGTCAAGAAGCAAAAGGAGGAGAGGAGAGAAGCGGAAGGAGAAGATGGAGAGGGGGAGCCTACATGGAAACACCACATGAGCCTCGAGTGAGCCGACTGCTCAGCTGCTCCTGTGGGAAGAGCAGCGAGCAAGTGAGACCGACAGCAGTGACGGACACACTGAAAGACCGCAAGACGATCGAAGCTCATGGTACCGCAGGGTCCTTGGGGAAGGGAGGGCCCACGGACAAAGACGGAAGGATCGAGGGGGGGGAACAAAGCGCAGGAGCCCGAGGCCTGCACACTGCTGCCCACCCCAGCGCTCCGCCCCGACTACAGCCTGGACAGCTGGCGAAGCAGTGATAGACTCCGCGGCCCGGCTTCCTTGTCACATTTGTTTGCGTCCTCCCCTCCTGCTCATGCTCTTCCTCCTCCTCCTCCTCCTCCTCCACCTCCTCCTCATCCTCCTCCTCTTCCTCCTCCTCCTCATCATCATCATCACCACCATCACCGTCACCATTACCAGAATCCTCATCCTCGCCATCATCATTATCATCATCATCATCATCATCATTATCATCATCATCATCATCATCATCATCATCATCATCAGCAGCAGCAGCATCATCAGCATCAGCATAAGCATTATCACCACCACCACAACAGCCACCATCATCATCAGCAGCAGCATCATCATCATCAGCATCATCACAATCACCATCACCATCACCATCACCATCACCATCATCATCATCATCATCATCATCATCATCATCATCACCACCATCATCATCATCATCATCATCATTTTAAGCATCAGCATCATCAGCTTTATCATCAGCAGCATCATCACCATCATCATCATCGTCATCATCATCATCATCAACATCATCGTCGTCATCATCATCACCACCACCACCATCATCATCAACGTCGTCGTCGTCATCAACATCATCGACGTAATCATCATCAGCAGCATCATTATCAGCATCATCGTTACCATCAGCATCATCATCATCATCATCATCATCAGCATCATCATCATCGCCATCATCATCATCCTCTTCATCATCATTATCATCATCATCATCATCAGCATCATCATCATCATCATCATCATCATCATCATCATTATCACCATCGTCATCATCATCATCGTCATCATCGTCGTCAGCATCGTCATCGTCATCGTCGTCATCAGCATCAGCATAATCAGCATCAGCATCATCATCATCATCATCAGCATCAGCATCATCATCGTCAGCATAATCATGGCCATGATCGTCACTGTCATCATCACCCTCACCCATAGTCTCATCATCATCATCATCATCTTCATCATCATCTTCATCATCATCATCAGCAGCCGCATCATCATCGACATCATCATCATCATCATCATCACCATCAGCATAATGATCGTAATCACCATCATCATTAGCATGATCAACAACAATAACAGCATCATAATCAGCATCGTCAACGTCGTCGTCGTCAGATTCGTCGTAAGCATCATCATCATCATTATCAGAATAATCGTCATCAACATCATCATCACAATCATCAGCAGTATCGTCATCATCGTCATCATCGACGCGTTCATCATCAGCATCATCGTCATCAACAGCAATGTCAGAATGATCATCGTCAGCATCATCATCAGCTTCACCAACATCATAATCAACGCAATCATCATCAGCAGCAGCATCGTCACGAGCATCAGCATCGTCATCAGCATCACCACCATCGCCAGCATGAGTTTCATCATCTTCCTCATCATCGTCATCATCCTCGTCATACAAACTCATCATCAAGAACATCATCATGAGCAGCAGCAGCAGCATCATCAGTATAATCAGTATCGTCATTACCATCTTCAAAATCTGCATCATCAGCATCCTCATGCTCATCCTTCTCTGCGTCCTCCTCCTCCTCCTCCACGTCATCATCATCATCATCATCATCATCATCATCACCACCACCATCCTCGTCATCCTCATCTCTACGTTAGGCAACCTGAGATCCGTTGGGAAATCATTATCCCCCTCCTCCTCCACCTCCGCCTCCCCCATCTTACTCATACTCCTCCGCCTCCTGCTCCTCCACCTCCTCCTCCTTCTCATCCTCATCCTCCTCCTCTTCCTCCTCCTCCTCCAACTCCTCCACCTTCACCATGCTCCTCCGCCTCCCCGTCCTCACCCCTCGTCTCACGTCCTCTCCCCCTCCCACATGAGCCACCTCCACCGCCAGCGCCGCCTCGAGGCCCCCGAGTCGGGCGCGAACCGCCCTCTCCTCCTCCTCTCACCGGGGCTCCTGCGAGTCTCCTCGCCACGCTGCCGCGGTGGAGGAGGAGGAGGAGGAGGAGGAGCTGGAGCCCCCCACCCCCCTGGGCGCTCCAGCTTCTGCTGCCAGCGGCGCTCGGCGCCTGACTCTCGGGGGCGGCGAGCAAGATCGAGCGCGGGGGGGGGGGGCGTGCGACGTCTGCGAGCGCACCACGCGCAGCATCGTGGCGGTTCGCGCAGGTCCCGAGCGCACAAAAGCAGCCTCCAATATGTGTACAGCGTATAAACATGTTCATCGTAGATACATATATATGTGTGTATATACACATATGAACACATATCTATATCTAATACGTACACAGTTATATGCACATGCACATAACAACTGAATTGTTGCATGTATGCATGTATGAATGAATGTATGTATGTATGTGTGTGTATGTATGTGTATGCATGCATGTATGAATGTGTACATGTATGTATGTGTGCATGTATGTATGTATGTATGTATGTGTGGATGCTTGTACGTATGTATGTGTGTGTGCATGTATGGATGCATGCATGTATGCATGTTTGTATATATATATATGTATATATATGTGTGTGTATGTATGTGAATATGTATGTATGTACGTACGTATGTATGTATGTGTGTATGTATGTTTGTTTGTATGTTTGTATGTATGTTTGTATGTATGGGTGTGTGTGTGTGTTTGTATGCAGGTATGTATGTATGTGTGTATGTGTGTATGGGTGTATGGGTGTGTGAATGTATGTGTGTATGTTTGTTTGTGTATACGTATGTGTGTATGTATACATGTATGTGTGTATGTGTGTATGTGTATATGTATGTGGATGTGTGCACGTATGGATGGATGGCCGTGTATATATATATATATATATATATATATATATATATATATATATACATATATGTACATGTGTGTGTGTGTCTGGACTGTCACCGTGCTCCCGTGGGGAACGCTGATCACAAAGCGAAGGGGCTTCTCTGGCCAGGGCGTGCCTCGGTCACGAATGCGCTCCCCGCCGTGGCTCCGAGGAACGGCCAGCAGACCAAAACAGCCCCCTCTGAGGCCGACGCGGTCCCCAGCGCAGCGTCTTGGCCTCCAGGGGGGCTCCTCGTCGCCACGGCTGGATCTGCCCCGAAATCCCGGCCAGAACGCACCCTGGGATAGCTCCGGGGATCGGTTCTTGACCACCAAACGTGCCAGCGTCTTAGCTGCACCCGGCCGCAACACCCAGCCTTGGATGACTGCCGAGCAACACCACACCACCCCAGCCCGAAGACCCCGAATTTCGGGTTGGCGGGGGTACGGGTTCCAGATGTGTTTTGTCCATGCTCCCCGACCCCCCCCCAATGGAAATGGAGGGCAAATTGAGGCCTTCGGGTTGGGTCGGGGTGGTGGGTGGTGGTGATCGGATGGCATAGACATCACGCGAAGAGGGGACGCGTCGACGTGGGCGAGAGACGAGCGCAGTCGGGAGACAGCCGCCCGCCCGCGTGGACGCCGCGACCCGACGAGAGCGCCCGCGGTGTGCAAACGCTGCTCCAAATCGCGCTGCCGACAAGGGGCAGGAAGGTAGGACGAAGCCAGGACAGGGGCAAAGCCGGACATGAACAAATCGGGAATCTCCGAGATCCAGCAATTCTGGAGGATGTATCGGGCGCCGAGGGCTTCTCAGAGCGCTCCAGAGCGCTCCGAGAGCGTTCCGGAACGCTCTGGAAAGATTTATCCCTGTCCTAGACCCGCCGGAGAAGGGGAAGGGGATGGGGAAGAGGAACGGAAAGGGCATCAAGGGGCGAGGAAGGTTAGGAGGCAGCTTCTGAAAGGTCTGCGTAAGAACGATGAGGGGCTAACAAGCACGATTGAGAAGCCATAAAGCAAAATTAGCCTGGATGACGCCCAGGATGAAGCCCGATTCAGTCGGATTAAGCGAAACAAGCGCAATTAAACAAGACGATGCTGGATCAGACCAGTTTCACCACAGATGTACCAGCGCCGATGCCCAGGAGCTGCATCCCAAGGAAGGGGACGAGGACGAGGACGGGTGAGAGTAAGGGGAAGCGGAGACAGCAGCTGGAGACGATCCACCCAGTGCCCCCCCTGGTAGGCCGAGGCGTGGTAGAATGTCAAGTGCTGTCTCGTATTATGCTTCTCCCATCGTACTTAAGGACCACATAACAGAAATGCACCCAGAGAAGTATCGAAACAGTGTCGAGCGAGTATCGCCTCCCAGGGCCCAAAGCGTGAAAACCCTCCAGTTTCGGTACTTTACTGGTGCTCGGAATTCTTTCGGATGATCAAGGCTAGAGTAGGTTGGACCACCATAAATCTCGTAGGGCTTCTGTACCCTTGTACTAGATCCCTCCCCCTTCCAATAACGGAGATGCGTGCACCGCCCACCCCCATGTCCCTTTTGTATGGACCGTTGGTCTACGCTCCCGAGGCCACAATCCCTTGTAACAAAATGGGTCCGCGCTCCAGGGACCACGAAACGTTACCAAAATCTATGAATGCGCGCTCCAAGGGTCACGACCCCTTGCACAAAACAATGTATCAGCGCTCCCAGGGCCAGGATCACTTACGAAAAACTACGGATCCATGATCCCGAGCTTCCAAGACGGACGATGCAGGCGAGGATGCCAGAATGGCCTAAGATGCCTCCAAGACGACCCAAGGTGGCCCCAAGACTGCCAAAGTGACCTCAAGACGGCCCCAAAAGAGGCCCCCAAGACAGACCAAGAGGGCCACTACAGGACCCCGGTAGAGCTCAAAAAAGCCAAAGTCATAGATGTTGCATACATGTTTCAAAGTTTGGGGCGTATTCACCTTTTCGAGTTTTCTTCAGCTCCAGCTAGCCCTGGAGGCCTCCAAGGTGGCCCCAAAACGACCCGAGAGATGCCCAAGATAGCCAAAGAATCCTCCGAGACAGCCTCAAGACGGCCCAAGAGAGTCCCTACAAGGCCCAGGACGGCCGCAAGGGCGCACGCTGGCCGAGAAAGGGCCTCCACGGGGACAGGACCGCGTTAGTGGGACAGTCAACGGCTCAAGACGGCCCAACGACGACTCCACGATGGTCCCCAAAGACCAAACAGGCGCCAAGCAACCCAAGAGAGCCCCCCAACTGACTACCTACCAGACCACCCCAACCCAACCCGAAGACCCGAATTTCGGGTTGGCGGGGTTACGGGCTCCATATGTGTTTTCTCGATGTTCCCCGACCCCCCCCCACTGGAAATGGAGGTCAATTTGAGGCCTTCGGGTTGGGTCGGGGTGGTTTGGTGGGTGGTGACTAACACGGCCCAAAAGGGCCCCAAGATGGCCGAAGGGTGCCGTAAGGGACCTTCAAGACTGCCCCACAGGAGCTCAGGACAGCTTCAACACTCTCCAAGTGCGCTCCATGAGAGCTCGTCAAGGCCCCAACACGGCCCCGGACCGCCGACCTCTTCCTCCTCCTCCTCCTCCTCCTCCTCGTCATCTGCATCATCATCATCATCATCATCATCATCATCATCATCATCATCATCATCATCATCATCATCATCATCATCATCATCATCATCCTCATCCTCATCCTCATCCTCATCCTCATCCTCATCCTCATCCTCATCCTCATCCTCATCATCATCCTCATCATCATCCTCATCATCATCATCATCATGCTCATCATCATCAGCAGCATCATCATCATCATCGTCAGCATCATCATCATCATCGTCATCATCATCATCATCATCATCATCAGCATCATCATCATCATCATAATCATAATCAGAATCATAATCATCATAGTCGTCATCGTCATGGTCATCGTCATCATCACCATCATTATCATCCTGATCATCATCATCATCATCGCCATCGTCATCGTCATCGTCATCATCACCACCACCATCATCATCATCATCATCATCATCATCATCATCATCGTCATCGCCATCATCATCAACAGCAGCATCATCATCATCATTATCATCATTAGCAGCATCATCATAAGTTATCATAACCGCCATCAACATCAGCATCTGCATCAGCAGCAGCATCAGCAGCAACATTATCATCATCATCAACAGCGTCATCACCAGCAGTATCATCAGCATAATCAGTATCATCATCAGCAGCATCATCATCAGCATCAGCATAATCATAACACCGACGTCATCCTTAACATCAATCTTACCGTCGGCACAATCATCATGGTGTGCATCCCCCTCGCCTGCCACAATTATTGACTTATTAATAGGATCCGTTTCATCATCACCCATTCGTCCTCATAATCAATATCAGCATCATTTTCATCATCATCAGCAGCATCATCATCATCAAAACTATCAGCAGCAGCAGTGTCAAGTGACACTGCTGCTGACGTCATCATCATCATAAAACATACAACCATATGTCTCATTGACCTCATCATCAGATCACCATCATTAGTATCATCACCGCCACCTGCATCGTCATCAGCATCATCATCGTCAGCATCATCATCATCATCATCATCATCATCATCATCATCATCATCATTAACAGCATCAGCATCATCATCATCACCATCATCATCATCATCATCATCATCATCATCATCATCATCACCTTCATCGTCACACTCGCTCACAACATCGACAGGGCGCACAGAAAACCTGCTACGTGTTGCGGCTTCCCCGAGGCTGGGCACACGAGGTGTCGCACGCTGCGGCCTCCCGTGCCCCCTCGAACAGCCCCCGCCCAGAACGCCGGGGCTGGCAGCCAGATACACATGCCAGAAGCGCCGTGCACACCTTTTTCGCCAGGTGCCCCGCGTGCCCTGGGGCGCCGTGTGCTCGTGCGCCAGGCGCGCCACGGTGCCCCAGGTGTGCACCAAGCGAGGGCGAGAACGTCGGCTCACTGAGCGAAGAGGTCGCAGGGCGCACACTGCATGCCCACACCCCTCCTCCTGGCCGGGCCGACCCTGGGCCCAGGACTGGTGTGTGCGCCCTCCTGGCTTGGCGAGGACGGCGCATGCGCCAACCACTGGCCCGGCATCGGCCCGGCCAGGATCGGTGCAGGCTTCCAGTCGGTGCCCTCCGAGGGGAGAGCCTTCCAACGACCCAAAGGCACTCCGCTCTGGGCCCGCACAGCGTGGGTGCGCGGCACAGCGCCGCGCACAGCACCGCGTGCGGCGCGCACCGATGGGAGCACGAGGGGCTCAGCGACAGCGCAGGCGCGCGCCCGCGGCGCGCCGCAGCATGGCACGCGAGAGCGCAACACGCGCGACGCGCGCGCTCGCGCGCGCGCCGTGCCACGGCGCGCGGGGCGGCGCGCGCGGCACGACGGGCCGCGGCGTGGCACGCACTTCGATGGGCTCGGTGGTGGTGGCGGTGGTCATCTTCTGAATGATCTTGCCCTTGTGCTCCTCGTCGGCCCACTTTGCCTGGGAAGGCGGCCTCTTGTCACTGCCGCCACAGGGGGACGGAGGGGGGAACGAGCATCGAAGAAGAAAAACTGCATGAATATCGTTTCCGGAGCTCCGCTGGATCGGCGCTGGGCCCCCACCCTAGCGGCGCCTCCGGCGCCGCCCCTGGCGCGCTCCGCGCGCCAAAGAGAAGGAACCGCCGTCAGTCCAGGAAATTCGCGAGGACCTCCGAAAGTTCATATTTATGTCGTTATTTCTTCCTCGGGAGAGGCGAAGCATCGTCGTTATTGCCACACGCATCCCGTGTGGCTCCACTGGAGGGTCCTTGGGTTCCATTGAGGGGGCAAGGCGTTCGTCGCTCTTGCACGCTAGGCTGATACTTCGCGGGAAGCCGAGGGGGTCAGGGAGGTGGGATGACCGAGAGAGGAACGGAGGACGGAGACGCTGGGAAACCCTGAATCTGGCATCATGGCGTTTGGAATATTATCGTATTTTTCTTGGGCCACACGGAGGGGATGGTCGAACACGCCTATGCCTTATGCCATAGAGCTGTCTATTGATTTGCCTCGAATTGCTATGTTTCAAACCGAGCGTTTGGAACTGAGCATCGAAGGCTCTGCAATCAATGATGTGGTGCTGTGTCCACGATGAGAAACTTCACCTGAACAAAGATGAGCCTCATGATGACGCAGACCATGCGCTCCACACATGAAAAATAGTGACCAATGTGCAGGCGTGCAATACTTGATAAGATGCCATTGCTGAGCAGCGCCTTAGCGAGAAATCGAGACAGCGAATGGCAGCCGTCTCCGCCATCAATTCCTTGGAACAGCGAGCCGTTTGCATGGAATCGCAGCTCCTGCGAGTCCTTTTGCACGACCGACCATGGCAAGAACTGCCGCTCCATTGCCTGAATGGCCTGCGAGAAACATGATGTCGGATTGCATCATTGGCTCCGTTGGTTCTGAGACGTACACGTGCGCTTTGCCGAGTGCTCGTGCAGTGGCGCACGAATGCGCGACACGACGTGTAGTCGACATTCCTGTGGACTTGGGTGCAGAAGTCCGCCTCGAGCGCCACATGCAAGGAAATGAAAAACTGGTGGCTTTCGCGGAAGTAAGCTCTGGAGGCAATCAAACAACATGGAAACTGATAAACCGATCATGCAAACACGTACACTTAACCACTCGCGTGCTCCGCGCGCTTCTAGGTTCCTGGTGTACGTCAAGAGTTCCCTAATTCGTATTCCGATACACCTCATTATCTGCCACTGTTCTCGTTCCCTCCCCACGATTCCGCAGTTCATCCGTATCAACGCTGGGCCCTGCACAGGAGTTCAAGCATGCATGAGGTTGAACAGGTACAAATTACACACGGCAGCTTAAGAGCAGAACGACAAAAGCAGTAGGGAATTAGTGGGGTGAGCTGCATGTAATCACCGTGACTGCCTCATAGCATCGAATACTCAAAAGCCTCATGATCCCCTTGCAAGTACCAGAACATACAACCACTCCCAAAGTATGTCGACCCGTACTGTCCTTCTAAGAGAGCACTGACTGACTACGGACTCCGAACACAAGCGAGCTCAGCACCTGGGCGACAACATGTTCGTTGTGTCTTCTATGTTCGAATTCGCCTGGTGGTTTCACGTTCACCCTACCGAACTACAGAACCAGACTTGACGAGCCGCAAACCCAAAAATGTCCAACCATGAGCAGAAATCATGTGAAACTCAGGAGGTCTGAAGAACAGATCTCAGCCTGCTAATCTCAGTGTGGATTCGACCTCATGTACAGACATCGTGAAGGCGCGCCGCACTGACCTTCGCGCCGGGCTGGACGCGTCGATCTTAGAAGGCAACAGAGCTTCGCAAGCTGGCCTTTCGGGTTTGGGTGGTTGGGCAAACATGCGATCGGTGAGCCAGAACAAATAACCCAAAAATGGAGCAACTACAGCAATGTCATCCGCCGCCGTGCCATGCGCACGTTGAGGCGTGGAAGAATGGCAAGGGCTGCCTGGCAGGGCTTCCGCTTCCTAAGAAAGGAGACTACCACCACCACCACCACCCCCTGCCAGCCTCTCGCTGCATGCATCGCCCCACCTCCTGAGCCCACGACCCCTCGTTGAAAGATACAACCAGCAACAGCAACAACAAAACACACACACACACACAAGAAAATCCGCGCTCCTGAAACAACCCCTGGTTAAAAACGATGGATCCGCGCCCCAAGCTTCCAAGACGGCGCAGGCAAACAAGGACGCCAAGATGGCCGAAGAAGCCTCGAAGACGGCCCAACATGCCCCAAAGACGGCTCAAGATGCCTCCAGTAGGCCAAACAGGGCCTCAAGAGGACCTCCAACAGGGTCCGAAGAAACCAAAATCAGTATCCCCCGTGGGTGAATTTAAAGAGTTTCGCATTCTCGCCTTTTCGGGCTTCCGTCAGCTCAAGACGGCCGAAGAAGCCCACACGATGGCCCCAAGACGGCCCAAGAGGCCCCCAAGAGGGTCCCATGATGGTCCAAGGGATCCCAAGATGGCCCAAGAAGGACCCAAGACGGCCCCAAGACAACCCAAGAGGGCCTCCCATGGGACCCAAGATGGTCTTAGAAGGCCTTTCGACGTCCCAGGCTGCACCATGACGGCCCCCACACACCCTCCATACGGCCAAGAGGACCGAAGGCGGCCCAAGAGTGCCCCAAGACGGCGTAAGAGGGCCACAAGACGGCCCAAATGGGCCCCAACGGACCCAAAAGACTGCCTCACAGGAGGCCAAGACAGCCTCAAGACGGCCCAAGCGAGTTCCATGAGAGCTCATCAAATAGCGAAGACAAAAGATGTCACGTGTGAGAGTCTTCCTCCTCCTCCTCCACCTCCTACTGTTCTTCATCCTCCTCCTTCTCCTCCACGTCGCCAGCAGCTTCAGCATCAGCATCGTCATCATCATCATCATCAGCATAATCCTTATTATTATCATCATCATCATCATCATCATCATCATCATCATCAACATCACCATCACCATCACCATCACCATCACCATCACCCAGCAACATCACCATCACCATCACCATCATCATCACCATCGCCATCACCGTCATCATACTTATCGTCGTCATCATCAGCAGCAACAGTAGCGTCAACATCATCGTCCTCATCATACTCAACATCGTTGGCATCAGCAATATCAGCATCCTCCACTTCATCATTCTCAGTATCAGCATCATCACCATCATCATCAGCATCATCATCAGTACCATCATTGCCATCACCAGCATCATCATCATCATCATCCTCATCATCATCATCATCATCATCATCATCATCACCATCACCATCACCATCAGCATCATCATCGCCATCGTCATCGCCATTATCATCGCCATCGTCATCATCATCATCAGCAGCAGCAGCATCAGCAGTGTGGTCGTCGTAATCATTAGCATCAGCATCGACATCATCATCATCATCATCATCATCATCATCATCATCATCATCATCAGCAGCAGCACCATCATCGGCATCGAATCACCATCATCATCAGCAGCATCATCGCCATCGTCATCACCATCGTCATCGCCATCGGCATCATCATCAGCATTGTCGGCGTCATCATCATCATCAGCATTAACATCAGCATCATCATCAGCACCATCATCATCGTGATCATAAGCATCATCATTGTCAACATCATCATCATCATCATCATCATCATCATCCTCATCATCTCCATCGTCATCGTCATAATCATCATCAGCATCATCATCGACATCATCATCATCATCATCATCATCAGCATCATAGTCGGCATCATCATCATCAGCATCATCGTCGTCATCGCAAACATCATCATCATCGTCGTCAGTATCATCAGCATCGTCATCATCGTTATAATCATCATCATCACCACCAGCAGTTGCAGCATCGTCATCATCATCATCATCATCATCGTCGTCATCAGCATCATAATCATCATCAGCATCACCACCCAACTCCATCACCGCCATCATAAGCAGCAGCATCATCGCCATCGTCAGCAACAGCATGATCATCATCATCATCATCATCATCATCATCATCAGCAACATCATCATGTTCATCATCATCACCACCAGTGTCGTCATCATGCATCATCATCGTAGTCGTCATGGTCCCTGTCATCAGCAGCATCATCATCATCAGCAGCAGCATCCTCATCATCTCCAACAGCACCATCATAAGCAGCAGCATTGCCATCGTTATCGTCATAATCATCATCAGCATCATCATCGACATCATCATCAGCGTCATAATCGGCATCATCATCAGCATCATCGTCATCGTAAACAATATCATCATCATCATCATCATCATCATCATCATCATCGTCAGTATCATCAGCATCGTCATCATCGTTATAATCATCATCACCACCAGCAGTTGCAGCATCGTCATCATCATCATCATCATCATCATTGTCGTCATCAGCATCATAATCATCATCAGCATCACCACCCAACTCCATCACCGCCATCATAAGCAGCAGCATCATCGCCATCGTCAGCAACAGCATGATCATCATCATCATCATCATCCTCACCATCATCACCATCAACATCATCATGTTCATCATCATCACCACCAGTGTCGTCATCATGCATCATCATCGTAGTCGTCATGGTCCCTGTCATCAGCAGCATCATCATCATCAGCAGCAGCATCCTCATCATCTCCAACAGCACCATCATAAGACGCAGCATTGCCATCGTTATCGTCATAATCATCATCAGCATCATCATCGACATCATCATCAGCGTCATAATCGGCATCATCATCACCATCATCATCGTCATCGTAAACCACATCATCATCATCATCATCATCGTCGTCAGTATCATCAGCATCGTCATCATCGTTATAATCATCATCACCACCAGCAGTTGCAGCATCGTCATCATCATCGTCGTCATCAGCATCATAATCATCATCAGCATCACCACCCAACTCCATCACCGCCACCATAAGCAGCAGCATCATCGCC